ATACATGCATATAGGTGAAAAAGTATTTGCACGAAATGCAACCAGCGCATTTTGTTTAAGGTGATGAAGGAATGGTGGTCGAATTGAATTTTTCCACAATCATATCAGCAGGCCTCACGATTCCGTCGAATTTAACTTAGCCCTGCTTTTAACAAATATTCTCATCCAGATTGGCCCATGCATCTCCTCTTTGTTAATCTTGTATATTCTTGACCTTCTGTAAGTTCGTCTTAACGATGAGAACAGTCCCTACTAATTCATTGAATCCATTAAAACAAGAATGTCTTAAGCCTTAATTATATGTTTTTTTCACTTTTTTATCATATGAGGCTAGTATTTCAGTTATACTACAGTTGGTTTCGTAACCTTTTTATGTCCATGATTCTTTACAGTCGTGCTCTTCACATTTTTTATTGTTTAATTAGGTAATGAAATAACCAGTAACTATGAGCCATATTGATCATATTTATTTTTAGGGAATGAAGGAGTAGTAGTTAATTCTTTTCACAATTCTATCACTAGGCCTCACATTCTCATTGAATTTCACTCAGCCCTGCATCTATTCAGGCAGAAGAGAACTGCGACACGTTAACCAGTACGCTACACTGCCACGAATGCCCTCGGGTCACTGTACAGACATGAATTTCAAGTTGGGTCATGCCTTTGCAATATGTCTTTCTGTGATTGGGTTGCCAATAGAGCAAAGTTGTATCTATTGTTACTGGCGTACATTTCATTTCGTTTGAGAGGGCTGGTGCAAGGGATTCGTAACTTGACCGCAGCGGATCACCGTCCAATGGTCCCAATGGCTCCGTGGCGAGCTTTCCTCCGTCATGTGACGGACATAGTCAAACTCAGAAACCATTATCCACGAATAAGCACCAAAAAACACAACACCGAGAAAGGTGGCCGGTTGATATCCTGCTTGCGATCTTGACGAGGCAATCCATGATTTGGTTGGCAGTTTCGTGCTTGTCCTACATGCATGTAAACGGATCAAAGTGATGCATGAAGTGGAGCGAATTTGATTACAACTCTTGTCTATGCAAATAAACTAGCATATGATCCTGTAATTATGAGGCTCCTTATAGCGTCGTGGATGCGTGTTTCTGTGCGTATCCAATGACTTGGTTGGCAATTTTAGATCCGAAACTAGACTCCAGCTTAGTCAAGTCTTATCTTACTCAGTGGATCTTCCTAATCCCTCTCCTGCTCTCTTTCTCTCTCTCTCTCTCTCATTGTATTTAGCAGACAAAGATAGTTCTTACTTAGTTTCCTACATTCGTTTCTTTTTTCAGGATGTTCTTCGTTCTATTGCTTTCAATCGACTCCTTGATCTTCCGCTTAGCTGTGAATTTCCCATAGCCGGCAAGACGTTGGGATTTAGACCACTCTATCTGGTGTCTTGTAGTGACCACATGTTTTACCCATAAATCTTTGCATGCGGTTCTGTGTTCTGATAGGCTCTTCTGTATGGGTCGACAAGTCTCCACCACATAAACACTACTACATGAACACAAAACCTTATAACAACCTGATCTGCAAAAGGCATCTGAAGATTCTCTAAAAGAAGGCATTACCGAGGAAAGCATCACTATTTCTTTATACATGATCCTAATTTTCCATTTCCTCAGTAATTCCCTTATCTTTCTTGAAAGCTTGTAGGATGTGTTATCATTATGAACCTGGACGAAGCGTTTTCTAATCCCTTGTTTTTATTCCAAATAATGGTTTCCTTTCGGCCAATTTCTTATTATTTTAAAAGTGTTGAGAATTAATCCTACCGGATAATTATTCTCAACTAAGCTTTTTCTTAGCCTTTCTAAATCATGTTCCTGATAATTTACGTCCGCTGACTTGTCCCTTTGACAAGTTGTACTATGGTGCTAAAAATGGCAATGCTCACTGACGATGCCGGCAAATGTCCAGCACTGTACCAAGTCCACTGTCCGACTCTGGAAATTATCATGCATATTATGGACTCCGGACTAGGTGCGTTCCTCTATTTCTTCCTGGCAATATGACCAAGTTGCGAAAACAAGGTCAAACAACTTCTAGACAGCGAAAGGAGACTGCGATCATACAAAAGGTCACATTATCCTCGTCTTCATTTTTTCGCTAAACCTTTGAATATTATTGTTTTCATTATTCCCATTTAAACACCATGAGGATGATTCGAGAATAAATTAAGAAGGAAACCAGCATTTGTGGGTTTCATAAATACATCCTT